GCCTCGGGCAAATGAGTTAGAGAGAAAAGAGAGAGAGAGAGAGAGAGAGAAAAAGAGAGAGAGAGAGAGAGAGAGAGAGAGAGAGAGAGAATAAGGATGAGAAATAATTGATTCCTAATATAAATGGATACTCATTTAATTCCTAAAGTGTATATAATTGGTAAATTTGTATATAGGAGGTAATTAAATTGAAACTTGAGTAGGGAGAGTAATAAAGTTTCCAATAGTGTGTAGGTATGTAAAACATATCTATACACTATTGGAAACTTTATTACCAAAAATGTCCACATTAGTTAATTACCCGACCTAAACAAGTTTTGTCTACAAAATATATATATTCCACCTTAAAAGGCTCCCAGTTCATTATTTGTGCCTTAAATTGAGGGATTTAGTTACACCCTTTTCCTTTTTTCTCTCATCTCTCCCCTCTTCTCTCCAGATTGAACTTATATTTAGGAAATATATCAGTTGTATTCTTGCGCTTCTTCAGCACTCTTTACAGTAGGAAAGTTGTTGCGCTTCTGTTTGGTCTATGGCTTGGACTAGGGCCATTCATATTTGAAAAAATTAAATGAAATCAATGTAATTTTTTCTGGTGATCATGTTTCGCCAAAAGAACGTGTTCTGCTGATCGCCAACCACAGAACTAAGGTCGATTAGATGTACCTATGGAATCTTGCATTGAGGAAAGGATGTTTAGGCCACATCAAATATCTACTTAAGAAAAGTTTGATGAAATTGCCAGTCTTTGGCTGGGGATTTTATGTCCTGGAATTCATCCCATTAGAGAGAAATTGGGTAGTCGACGAATCAATGATAAGACACGCAATTTCGACGTTTACAAATCCTCAAGATCCATTGTGGCTAACCGTTTTCCCTGAAAGAACAAATTACACTTATCTACAACTTGTCTACAACTTTCACACATTATTTCTATCCAGTTATATACAACTATAATATCATACCACTTAAATATATTTTTATACAAATTTTATACAGTATGTCTTTTGTATATTTTGTATCTGATTTGTACATAGTAAAAACAAATTTCATACAACTAATTATATATTATACAACTTATCTACAATTTTCATACATTATTTTTACTCGGTTATATATAATTACAATATCATACAACTTAAATACAATTTTTATACAATATTGTTCAACTTTCATGCAATATTTAAATAAAATAAAAAATATATAAACAACAAAATACAATTTTTTTAAATTTTACTACAACTTAACTACAATTTCTGTAGTATAATGTATGTCATGTCTTCTTCTTCTTCTTCAATAATAATGATTTTTGAAAACCCAAATTCGAATTCAAAGCTTCAATGCTTTTTAATGACTGTCAATGGTGGAATTGCTACTCTCTTTTCCTTTGCTTTACATTACTAGAATTAGGGATTGAGAGATAGAGAGAGACGTAGAGAGAATTCCCAATTATCAACAACACCCAATTCAAACAAATAATATTTTTTGAAAACCCAAATTCGAATTCAAAGCTTCAAAGCTTTTTAATGGCTGTCAATAGTGGAATTACTGCTCTCTTTTCCTTTGCTCTACATTACTGAAATTAGAGATTGAGATATATATA